TTCGTTCTGCCTTCAAGGAAATGTTCTTTACAAGAGGAACTTCAAGCCGAAAGGAAAAAAAGTTTTCACTTGTTATACGCACACATATGGCAGAAGAAATTATGCACGCATGTCAAGGTGAACCGACATCTCGGCATATGGAGAAGAGCCGTACGTTCACGAGAATTAAGATGAGATATTACTGCCATAAGTTACTAGCATCCGTGCAGCACTACGTAAAAATTTGCCGGGCATGTCAAACGCAAAAAACTCCATCCGTAAAAAAACAGCAGGCTTACTCCAGCCACCCGCCAAATGCCCCGTTTCAACAAGCCGGGATGGACCTGCTAGGACCGTTCCCGTCCTCGTTTACAGGAAAGAAATGCATAGTTGTCGCCACAGACCACCTGACCCGGTGCGCCAAGACGGACTCTCTGTACAGGGCGACAGCTCTCGAAGTTGCGAAGTTCTTCGTCAACAACATAGTCCTCAGGCATGGTGCGCCCATTGTTGTTATTACAGATCGTGGAACAACCTTTGCTGCAGATCTAATGCAATGTCTGATGCGAATGAAACGCACCAATCAAAGAAAAACTATGGCCTACCACCGTTAAACACATGGCTTACCGGAACGCCTCAACAGAATTCTGACTGACGTGCTTTCAATGTATGTCGATGTCGAACAAAGGTTCTGGGATGAAATTTTGCCTTACGTCACATTTTCATATAGTACAGCCGTCCAAGAAACAACGACAGCGGCGCCATTTGATCTTGTATTCGGTCGGACAGTAACCACTCCTGTCGATGCCATGTTACCACTAAGTGAAGACAGCAGCAATCTACCTGACTTAGATGATTTCTCGCAAAGAGCCGAGGATGCGTGACGGATGGAAAAATACAAAATACGCCGCCAAAAGCGCATCGATTCTAGTCTGTACAACCAGAGCAGTAGTGCATCGCATTCTCAGCTTAAAAACAAAGTACGAATATGGACTCCCGTGCGCCGCCGGGGACTCTCTGAAAGGCTCCTTTGCGGATACTTTGGCCCTTACGAGGTACTCCGTCGCATAAGCGATGCCACCTACGAAGTTAAATCTGTTGGACATACTAGCCCAAGAAGCCGCAATGTCACCGATGTGGGGAACGTCGTCCCTAAGAAGGCCTATTATGAAAGATCTTTGGAAGACGAAGGCCGTCATGCAAGCATCCTTTCAGTGCCTGCCACATCGGGACGATGCGTACGAGGAGGGGGGCAATTCTGCAATATATTGAACGCATTCACATACAGTGCCCTTCACCGTGCCGCACAGAGACCATGGCACCACGAGCACCTGGCCAGACCCAGCTCGCATGCGTCACGTGCTCGGGGTTCTGGTGAAGAAAAAGAAGAGGTGCATTGAAATTTCTTTGGTGTTTGACGGGCTGACAATTTTCTCACAGCTATTTTAACTTGTGGACACAGGTTCGCCCTAATAAATGTTTGTTTTATAAGCGTCTGTGCTTTAGTGTCACTGCAATATTGATGTCTCTTTATAAAGCATTCATTGCGTTACGTCCTCTTCACTTTTTTGGGGCGAAGCTCCTTATAGCGGCACCCGTTCGTCCCCCGTAGCATGTAACAGTATAACATTTTGACCTCCAAGGTGGTGCTGGTGAGAGACTTCTTTTGTGCGTTGTTGAAGATAGTGCTCAATGCACATGTTAATGGCTGCTAATGGGGAATGAGAGACAGGACCATTCGGCTTTTAGTTAACGCGCAGGCTGCGATCACCATTAGCAGCCATTGGCATGTACATTGAGCACTATCTGACAAGAAAGGGTTGCTACGTTATACTTGCTGGGTGTAACCTTTAGAAAGGTTTAGCGAGCGTTGAGCCGCAGTGCCGTGAATACAATGAACTTGTATATACCATGAATGAACTCGTGGTGGTTAAAAATGGGAAGTAGATACGAAGCGTAAGCCGTAAGAAAGTAAAAGCCGAATTCTCCGCCTCTGATTTCCCATTAGCAGCTATTGGCATGTACATTGAGCACTATCTGACTGAAAAAGTTTGCTACGTCAAACTCGCTGGGCGTAACCTCCTTGGTTTTCGAAAGGTTTAGCGAGCGTTCGGCCACAGTGCCATAAATACAGTGAACTAGTATATACCATGAACTCGAGGTGGTTAAAGGTGGGAAGTGGACCCGAAACGCAAGCGGTAAGAAAGTGTGCGTGTGCCACCTCTCGTTTAGTCCCTGGAATGTCCGCTGGATGGCGGTGCTTCTATATGAGGAATATATGATGAAAAGATGCGAGAAGGTGGTACTTGGAGTGTTGAATAGATGGACGAACGGACACATAGACAGATGCATGGATGGACGCATGAATGGACGCAGGGGCGGCTGCATGGACGAACGCAGGGACGGGCGCACGAACAGACGCACGCACGAACAGGCTGATGGACGCACGGACGGTCACACTGATGGACGCATGGACGGACGGAAGCAAGAACGATTGGACGGACAAATTCTTCGCCCCACTCTCCATCATTCATTCCGTGGATGTGCGGCCATTTTGTTTCGGGGAAGGTGTTTTTTACTTGAAGAGATCGCAATAACCTTCATGAGCTGCCGAAGAGCTGCCATTCTCTGGATTTATGAGGGTTTGTAGAACTTTTGCTACACGGTTAATCATGGTAGCTACGTCACTATCGCGGGAATCGTTTCCAGTTCATTCTCTAGTAGCACCATACGTGCTGGTGTTACGATGGTCATTGCTCCTCGAAAACTGCTTCACGCCAAGAGCTTATGCCCCGTTATTGATTCACCGATTGTTTAATGGGGCTGCAGCCCAAGGGCGTGCTGTTGTCAAAACACGCTTGTTTGTATGCATCCTTCTCCGCAGCATTGACAAGGTGGATAAAGTTCGCCTTCTGAAGCTTCCTAAGCTGGTCACGCCAACGGCAGTAACGCGCATTTGACCATCTGCGAGGCACAACCGTACAAGTTGTCCTAAATAACCATGTACTTCACAGTTCATGAGCTTGTGTACCCGCTTCCTTGTACTGACGACACTACTAATGGGAGTAGAGTTAAGTAAGCCATTTAACGAAAATTTCTAAATTATTTTATCAGCTATATAACGGAAAGAAGAACTTACAGTTTGGAGAGGTGGCACATGTGCATGGTTTTTGAATGGAAGAACGGGCAAAAAGCTAAAAAAATGAGTAGTCAAACAGAAATATATTCATTAGCCTTCCCCTTATACATCGTGTAGTTTTAAAACCATGTATAATAGGCGATGAATGAGCTAATTCCTAGCAGGAGTACCTACAAGGAATAGGCATTCATGCCTTATGGTTCACTGATGCCCTGCTTGTCTTTTTGAAATATGACTTGAGCGACACAGACATATCTTTACTGTCATTTCGTATTATATTGCCTAATAAAAATTACGCCCCAGTCACCTTTCCTCCGCATGCTTCACATAATAATGATGGCCATGGTTCGTTGAATCTCGAATTTTTTTCACCTGAATACCTATACACACATTCACATGTAAAAAAAGGGAGCACACCTTCAAATAAAATGAAAACCCACTCAACTTTCTTGCTGACCGCGTGATCCCATTATGATTATTTTCTCAGCAAAATGCAGTGACTCTGATTGTTTGTGACTATACTTTTAGGCGAATTTTCGTGATTTTGTCGTATCTATCTATCTATCTATCTATCTATCTATCTATCTATCTATCTATCTATCTATCTATCTATCTATCTATCTATCTATCTATCTATCTATCTATCTATCTATCTATCTATCTATCTATCTATCTATCTATCTATCTATCTATCTATCTATCTATCTATCTATCTATCTATCTATCTATCTATCTATCTATCTATCTATCTATCTATCTATCTATCTATCTATCTATCTATCTATCTATCTATCTATCTACGTACCCGCTTTCGTTTTGGTGTTCTCGACGTCACCACCACCTTAACTTGGCTTGAACCAAAGTTAGCATGGGAGGGTAAGATGGTTTGACCAATATGATGTGTTGGTAAAGACATTAATAATGTCACAATCCCATCGCGTACGTCATCCAACATTTCCCGCCAGACAGTGGCTCATACCCACCGGTGGGTATGTGCGGATGGTAGGGGGGTATGTACCACAGGTGATTGACACTTTTCCACCCAGGAACGACGAGAACACGCATGGGCAATTTTAACGCGTGAGCGTTAATAAATACTCGACATTGGTAGCGTCAACCCGACGAATGCAAAGAATAATTGTCAGGGTCCCAGCTGGAATTGATTCCAAGCATTCTGTGTGGCAGTGAAGCATTTTACCACAGAGCTACGCCAGGCCTCGGAACTACAGTTCAAATAGACGTTAATCTTCATGAAATGTGACTAGTGGTTGCAGTGCTGCCTACCCAATTTTATAAGCATTACAAATTTAAGCCTTTCATACAGCCGTCACTTCGGGATAACGTCAATTGTGGTTAGTTACCATGCGCTGAAGTTGATTCATATAGCAGAGTCCAGGGCCAGCATCCTCGCGAGCATCAGCGCTTCATATCAGCTGCTTCTCGTGTTGCTAATACGCATGTTTCAGTTGGCATCATTGCGCAAGTGCAAACAACTGGTTTTATGAGCATCTGCAACTCCTCGACATATGTCTGTGCGTGCAACATTCGTGCATATACTTCGCGTGATTTCATAACCTGTCCCTGCATAAAAAAAGTAATAGCTTTGCCACAAAGGTGAAGAAATGAACGCAAAAGCAACAAATTTGAAGGCCACGCGTAGAATGGCAAGCAGATCGAAATATGCCCCACGTTTCTCACGCACAAATCACGCACGAAACGTCATCTTAAGTACAGATGAACGCAAACAAGCATCTCAGTGTTTATTCGCTGTGTCTCTAAAGCAAACCCTTTTTCAAACGGAGGCTGCGCAACGATTGCAGTGACCTTTGTGCGCCCCCTTAACTACAACAGAATCGTTCCAGTGCAAGCCCAACGCTGGCCGAGCCATATGATCCTCACCACCAAGACATAAGGATGCGTCAGAGATCGTCCACTCCCCTTCCTCCCCACGAACCAAAGTAGACGTGAGAGATGAGAGCCACCACGTGCTCATTGTGCAATCTTGCTGATAATGCTGCAAACATGATAGTTTCCTCCCGAGATGCTCGCCAACAGCGGTAGGTGGTAGATATAAATAGCTTGCCGTTTGAAAGTTTAAGGTGTTGCCCCTTGGTGGCTGAGTGGTTAACGCCTCGTATTCACGATGCGGAGGTTCCAGGTTTGCTTCCACGTGCCGGCGTATTTTTCTGGACCTTTTTCTCTCACGAATTTTTATATATTTAGATACGTATCTATGTACAGTACGTGACGCCGACGCTGACGCTGGCGGCAAAATCCAGCCAACTGTGTCCATGTAACAGCTATCGCAATAAAAATTACAACATGATCACCTCCACTCCGCATGCATCGCATAACGTCAATTGCCCAGGTTCACGGGATCTTCCGAATTTCGATCTATCTATCTATCTTATTATTTATGGCTGGGTGCTTTGTGTTCCCCTCTTTTGCTTGGGGTCGACAATTTAGTATGTCTGGGTAAACGGTTTTGGCTAATCTGTGTGACTGGTGATGACATGCGTGACGTTATAATTGTGTCGTGCGTGAAATCCAGCCCTCTCTTCCAGACATGTGTTAAACATGCCTGTTAACCACCGGCCGCGTTATGCGGGTATGCGCCACAGGTGATTGACAGTTTATATCTGCTCAGAAACAATGAGAACAGACATTTGTAACTTAAACGCGAGAGCGTCAAGAAAAACTGCCCTTGGCAGCGCTGATCCGGCAAATGAAAAAAATATATATAATGGTTTCAGCAATAATTGGCGCCGATAATTTTGTGTGGAAATGAAAAATGCCACAGAGCCACGCCAAGCCTTAATACGGTTTTCAAAAAACAGCCTGTGCAGGTGCACTGTTAGCGAAAAGTAAATTTTGTGCGTACTGTGAATTATGTAGATTTATAAACATAACATATGCTCTTAAATGGTATCGTCGGGTTAACGTCAGTTATATACTGAAGCACCATCATGAAGCAGCCAGGGCTACCACCTGCACAGGCACAAGCGCTGCCTATGAGCTTTCTTGTGCATACCGGTCTTATTGGGCACTCAATATTGGGGACTTTAACACACACGATACGCTATGGGAGAGCTCGAACATCAGCGCAAAAGGCAGAATTCTGACAATATTTGCTTCAGACAACGAGCTGTGCTTGGGAAATGATGGCAGTCCCATATTTTTACGTGGCCCTTGGACAACAGCTGCCTTGACTAGGCTTTTAAATGCGAAGCATTTCTCAGCAAACTTCAGCGA